AGAAATGTTCTATACAAAATTTCACTATAAGTCACCATAAAAAATTTAACTCAATTTCAGTTATATAACAAGAATTTATTTGCATCAATGTTGCCAAAAAATCAAGACAAGATTTCATAATGTCTTTGGGTCTTCTACGATTTAATGCCCTAAAGTAACACAAGATATTGTTTTAGATAGACACTGTCAAAAGAAGAAATATTCTATACAAAATTTCACTATAAATCTCAGAATAAATCATATATCTAGGTTTCATAGTTTCTAAGAAAAATACATTCGAAAATTATATATGATAAGTAAAAATTATGTGTTTACGTTTATTACTCCTTATTTAACATGTTACGATTCAGAGACAAAATCTCCCCTAATACTTCATTGTTGGGAAAAAGTGTCAAAGGAAGAAATGTTCTATACAAAATTTCACTAGAAGTCACCATAAAAAATTAATCTCTATTTTCGTTATATAACAAAAAAATATTTGCCTCAATGTTGCCAAAAAATCAAGAAAAGATTTCATAATTTTTATGATCAATTTTCTTTGGGTCTTCTACGATTTAATGCCTTAAAGTACCACAAAATGTCCTAAAACGAGACTGTCAAAAGAACAAATATTCTAAACAAAATTTCATTATAAATCTTAGAATGAATCATATATGTAGGTTTAATAGTTTCTAAGAAAAATACATTTGAAAATTATATATTGCAAGTGAAAATTATGTGTTTACGTTTATTACTTCTTGTTTAATAGGTTTCGATTCAGACTCAAAATCTCCCCTAATACTTCATTGTTGGGAAAATTGTCAAAGGAAGAAATGCTCCATACAAAATTTCACTATAAGACACCATCAAACATTAATCTTTATTTTCGTTATATAACAAGAAAATATTTGAATCAATGTTGCCAAAAAAAGCGAAAATATTTCCTAATTTTTTAAATCAATTTTTTGGGCTTCTAACGATTTAATGTCTTAAAGTAACACAAAATGTCATTTTAGTTAGACACTGTCAAAAGAACAAATATTCTACACAAAATTTCACTATAAATCTCAGAATAAATCATATATCTAGTTTTCGTAGTTTCTAAGAAAAGTACATTCGAAAATTATATATTACAAGTGAAAATTATGTGTTTACGTTTATTACTTCTTATTTAATAGGTTTCGATTCAGAGTCAAAATTTCCCCTAATACCTCCTTGTTGGGAAAAAGTGTCAAAGGAAGAAATGTTCTACAAAATTTCACTATAAGTCACCATCAAAATTAATATCTATTTTCGGTTTATAACAAGAATATATAGGCATTAAAGTTGCAAAAAAGATATATATTCTAATAATTTTTATCAATTTCTCCTCGGGCTTATTTTCATGTTAACGCCTGAAATTGACATAAAGTTTCATTTAGACAAAAATTGTAAAAGGAAGAAATATTCTATACAAAATTTCACTATAAATCTCAGAATAAATCATATAACTAGGTTTAATAGTTTTTAAGAAAATCTCATTCGAAATTTATATATTACAAGTTAAAATTATGTGTTCAAATTTTTTACTGTTAATTTAATATGATTCCATTCGAAGTCAAAATCTCTCTCAATACTTAATTTTTTTGGGGAAAGTGTCAAAGGAAGAAATATTCTAGATCAAATTTCATTGGCAGTCTCCGAACACAAGAAATGTATATACTTAATATGTACCATAGAAAAGTCTCACCAATTTAGGTTTGTATAACTCCATTTTATTATTTTCCACAGTAGCACTTGTTTCGAATTCGTTGCAAACTTTGATATAATTTCACTCTCCAATAGCCAGCCTGGACATTGGAAAGTGCCAAGCAGATTTCATAATTCTCGGTTTGTACATCGAAAATACCAAAATTTGAAAAATATGGTCAAAAACCTCATAATAAATAAAATCCGGGAGTTTTACTAAAACGTGGACCTATATTCATTTTTTTTTGTTTATTGTTATCTGTAATATTGTCAAATCGAAAGGATTCCAAGGAATATTAATCCGAAAATTAAAAAAAAAATGTAGAGGAGACTTTGACCTTTTTATATAGATCAATGGAAAAGTACACAACGCCGATACACATGTCGTCTTTTTTAGCTCTACTTTCATAATATGCTGAACTTTTCTCATAATTTTTGAAAAAAAAAAATAGTTTTGTAGCATCAATTCGGCTGAGCCGAGCTTTTAATAGTCTCCATCATTTGGAAGGATCTTGCAAAACGTAAAAAATGTTCCGTTGAATAATGGCGGCATAATTTTAAAAATTCCCATTTTGGGGGCTATACGAAAACGTGGACTTCTGCCAGAGAAAGTAGTACCTATTATGAACCCCAAACACCAAGTTTGATATAATGCTGTTAAAAAAATATATATAGTTAAAATCTTAAAAAATACCGAATATGTTAGCTATACAAAAACGTGGACTTTTTAGCCAATTATATGCCAGAGAAGGCGGGCCAGAAGATCAGCCACCAAGTTGAGATAATTCTGTTGAAAAATTGAGAATATTGGCAGGTACCGTTAAATGGGGGCTATATGAAGGCGTGAATCGATTCAGGAAAGTCTAAATTTTGAATTTGAAATATTTCTATTAACAAGTGTGGCTAAAATCGTGAAAATGCCAAATAAGTTGAGATTTCGTTATATGGGGGCTATACGAAGATGTGGACCTGTGCAGGCAATTTTCTGTCATACAACGTAGTATCCATTACGAACTCCAAATACCAAATTTGAAACAAATTCGGTGAAAAATGTGACTCAAATCATAAAAATACCAAATATCTGGGATACAGCCATAAAATACAGGGTGAGATGAAAATACTGCAAACAAGATCAGACTGCTGTCATTCTAAGCCACTCGTCCGATAGCTGTTAAAATTATTCCAGTGACAGCTCATTATATTCTTTACAAGCGTACAAAAGGATTTTGGTGAGAATTTTCCAGAAAAAAAGTTATTTCTGATGGAATTCATACGTGATAGTGTGATTTCTTTATATTTGGCTGGAAAACCACAAGTATAGCACTCCAACACTTAAATGTGAATAAATTTGTCCGAAAGTGGTGAACTGCCGAATTTGCTTTTCTCCGATGAGAAAACATTTGTTGTCCAGCAGTTTGTAAACAAACGAAATAATCGTGTTTGCTTGTCAAAGAGGTTAGCTGAAAATGTGCACCTTCAATTGGCCACCAGAACTCAAGCGACGGCCATGGTTATGGTGTGGGCCGCCATAACAGCCGATGGTCGCCCTCCGCTCATATTAATCGATCGTTGCATCAGAATAAATGCCGAATATTATCACGAAAATATTCTGGAGGGTGTATTAAAGCCTTGGGCACGCAAACATTTTGGCCACAGACCTGGGACATTCCAACAGGACTCAGCACCATCGCACTCAGCACACGCCACCCAAGAATGGTTACAAAATGAGGTTCCTCGCTTCATTTCCAGCGCACAATGGCCACCAAAATCTCCGTATACCAATCCGTTGGACTATTGTGTCTGGAGTATTTTTGAAAGCAAGGTTGGCACTAAAAAATACCAAAATTGTCAAGCAAGCGCTTCACCGGGAATGGGCCAAAATAACGCAGAACAACATTCGGGCAGCGTGTGACGGTTTCATTGGCTGTTTGATGGCCATAATTCGTGCCAAAGGTGGCCAATTCGAACAAATCTAAACTTATTCTAAAATTTGATGCTATTTCTGACTTTTTTGCTTCCATTCAATAAAATTTAAAAAAATGTGTGTGAAAATTATGGCGCTTGACTTTGTTGCAGTTTTTTATCTCACCCAATATATATTCATATTGGGACAATACCAACATTTGTAGCTATAAGTACAGTTTTATGCAAGGATAGATACTGGGAACACAAACTACAAACAAATAACAAGCAACTTCGGATTAAAATTGTGACTAAAACAACCAAAATACCTTAAATCTTCATGTAAAGTTATGGGTGAGGTCTATACCAGAACGTGGACCTATATGGTCCATTATCGATAACAAAATGGTGCAGACGTAATATATATCTGAAAAAAATATTACTTAAAATTTAAAACAATGAAATGGAGAAATAACTTTTGTTACACAAAGAATGAAACTTCGAACAAAAAAAATCTGAATTTAACCATGGTACATTAAGGAGGTGAAACGGCTTCGTAGAAATACTAAAGTACAGCTAGCTCTGAGGCGATGCCCGCTTTCTGTCAAAATTATATGTAGGAAATTGTTCGCAATTATTTATTTTTTTTTCCTCATTTTTAGAATGAATAAAAATGCGCCAAAAATGAATGAAATGCTTAAATTGATCCAGACTTTTAAATAATATAATTTCATGGCAAAAACTGGTTAATGCCAAAAATACGCGCCTGTAAAGTATGTTTTTTTTTTCAAATCATTGATTTTGAAAATATTTTGTTTTAATTTTTCAAAGCAATAAATACATACATTTGCTGAATTCTCCACAGTCTAGCTCTATCTTACCTTTTTATCGTACTAAATATTGATGTTATTTTCATTTCTAAATTAAAAACGAAATTTAATATATTTATTTAAAAAATAAAAAAATCGCTTGACCCCGACGTGATTTGAACACGCAACCTTCTGATCTGGAGTCAGACGCGCTACCGTTGCGCCACGGAGTCCGTTATGTGGTATTGTACAAAGCAGTCACTTAAACACAACATTCATTTGTTAGTTGTGTTCTAAAAATAGAACGAATACAACTGTGGTGAGAATACAATTTGTGTGCGAGAGAGAGAGAGAGTGAGAGAGAGAGAGGCAATGGTACTCACTAAATGTTAGCAACAAATGTTTTGAAAAGAGTCTCTAATAGTTATTTTTAAATCTTTGAACTAATTGTATGGTGGCGTTTGGGGGAGAATGGTACCTAATATTATTATTGTTCTTGTTGTTTTTTTTTTTCATTTAAACAATTGCTATTTATGCCTAACAATGTGTGTGTGTGTTTTTTGTTTTTGTTTTTTTTTTCAGGTGCCAGCCGACGTCGTTGCCTTAGCATTTTGAAAACCCTGCGTGATCGTCATTTGGATTTGCCCGGCAATCCAGTTACCTCGTACCACTTGAAAACACTGCTCCTCTATGAATGCGAAAAACATCCACGTGAAATGGAATGGGAGGAGAACTGCATTGCCGATCGTATCAATGGGATTTTTTTGCAATTGATTTCGTGTCTGCAGTGCCGGCGTTGCCCCCACTATTTCTTGCCGAATATGGATTTGTTCAAAGGCAAATCGCCGGGTGCTTTAGAAAATGCCGCCAAACAAGTTTGGCGCTTAACACGTATCATGCTGACCAATGCGCGATGTTTGGAGGAGTTGTAAGAAGTGGCCCGGCAATAAAATGGTAATGTACCATGGTTGGTTGGTAGTTGTTGTTTTCGTTGTTGGAGCAAAAAAAAGACAGATGGACGGACGGACGTATTACTGGACATACATTTTAATTTGATTTTAAGCAACAACAATAATGTACTGCATACAGTAACAACAACAACGAGACAAGACAAAAAGTTAATACAAAGATATAAAACACATGTTAAATTGTAAAATAGTTAAAACACAAAAAAAAACCTTTAGTTTGCCACAAGTTAATTTAGTTCATAGTTCATAAGGTTTGCTAGTTAGTATTTTTTTATTTCCTATGTTATAAAGTTGTATTTATTTAATTAGTAGACGATTATTTAGATATTATTTTGAAAATTGTAATTTATTTAAGGTGATAATACATAAACAGCTTGGCATCAAATATTTCTTGACATATATTTTAAAGGGATGTCAGAACCTGCTGCTTATTTATCATCACCTTTATTCATTCACCAGTGAAAAAGAATTCAGCAAATTTACCTGTTGATCTTGAAAGCATTTCTATTTTTCATAAAAAAGTCGTTTGAGGTTTGCTAAGAGCAATGTTTGGAAGGGAGCAGTTTTGGGACAGTAAAGCGATCATTTAAATAATGTGTATGTGTGTACGACATCTCAATATTTTGGAATAATGTGTACAAAGTCCAGCAAGTAAAATGTTGACAGTACCTGTACTACTGGCAGCATAGACAAATGAAAATATAGACAACGGAATGCTCTCAGCATCATCGAAAAAATTAGAATCAGCAGTTGCCGACCATGTCGTTTCAGGGTTATGAAACATACCTAATTTAAGCCCATTTCAATTTGAAAATATTCTCAGCCTCCAATAAAATCTAAAAATTATTAATTAATTTAATATCTAAAATTGATATTGAGATATTTTGAATTAAATATTACGAGCAATAAGAGTTAACAGATGAATTGCGATGAGGTGAGGAGAGCAACAAGTAAAAAAGCTGTAAGTTCGGCCGGGCCGAACTTTGAATACCCTCCACCATTTGGAACGAATTTGGCAACTCTCAAAAACAATAAAATCAGTTAAAATGTCTGTTACATTAGGGTCTATATGACTACATGGACCTGCGTAGGTACATTTTGTAATAAGCCATTGCAAAATGCGAAACTTAAAAAAAAATCGGTGAATAATATAGCTAAAATCATCACAATACCGGGAGGTTCCGTTATATGGGGGCTATACGAAGACGTGGGCATGCACAGACAATTTTCTGTCTTAGACTGTAGTATCCATTACGAACTTAAAATACCAAATTTAAATAACTCCGGTGAATAATGTAGCTAAAATCATCAAAATACTGAATATCGGGAGGTACCGTTATATGGGGGCTATACGATGACGTGGACCTGCATAGACAATTTTCTCTCATAGGCTGTAGTATCCACTACCAACATCAAATACCAAAATTTGAAAGAATACCGGTGAATAATGTCGCTAAAATCAGCAAAGTAAGGAATATCGAGAAATACAGTTCTATGGGGGCTATACGAAGACGTGGACCTACATGGCCCATTTTCAATACCAAAAGTCCTGCAGACATAATATACATTTGAGTAAAATTTTATCAACCTACTTCAATTCGTTCGGAAGCTAGAGTGATTTCCACAGACGGACAGACGGACATCGCTAAATCGACATAGAATTTTATGCTGATCAAGAATATGTATATGTACTTTGTGGGGTCTAAAATGTATATTTCCAGGTGTTACAAACGGAATGACAAACTATGGTCGAGGATATAATAACAAGGAACAGATTTGCTCGTATTGTCTTGGGAGTGAAACTTACTCAAGATGGGAATTACTCAAAGAGTGGCCGATTTATACGGAGTTTACTCTCCACTCTTTTGTTTTGTGAGGGAGCGGTCCCGTATCCCTTCTGCTAGAGTGTGAGTCGCATCGCTCGAAATAGAGTGAGAGTTGGCTCTAAGAGTGAAAACAAACGATACCTCTCTATATTCGGTATTTTGTCGATTTAGTCATATTTTCGGTATTTTGTCGATTTTAGTCATATTTCGGTATAATTGACTTACATCGATATATTAATAATTTTGACGGTTTTTCTACGGATTTTTTTTTTTAATTTTGCAAGTTTTTTTCTAATGATGGAGAATATCAGTGGAATAGAGGGCCGTTAAAAATGAGCCTCATCGAAGTAACTGTTTTAGACCCTAGGTGTCTTTGGATGAAATTCGTTTTAGGGCATTAGGAGTCGGTCAGGTGCGAAAATGTTTAATATTGGCTTACACCTTTAGTATTTCTATCACCATATTTCTACCAACTCTATATTTTTTATAAAAACTAGGCACAACGGACTACTTCTTCTGGTAATTATACGACAACCAGTCAACATTTGAATGGCCATTACGCTCATAACATGCAAAAATATCCTATTTTTTCACACTTCGTACACCCCAATAGCGAACCACCTATTCTGGAACCTCCCCGACAGAAAATAAAAATTTTGAATAAGTATTACCCTTATAGCATGCGAAACCAATCAGCATTTTTCTTGAAACTTCATATATCACAATATCATTGCTGTGCATATGAAATCGAACCAAATCGGATGAAACAAAAACCGATGCCAAAACCGCTTTATTTGGGGTGATATTAACCATTTGGTGCCCAATAAGCCAAAAATGGGATAAACACATGTATGGGAACTACATACAAATCTACACTGACCTTGAGAGAGGTATTTCTGGTATCTGATATCAGGTATGAAATATCATTGATATTACAAATGTGAGGAACTGAAACACCCAATTGGATAAATAAATGGGAGCTATAGCTATATTTGGACCGATTTTCATCAAATTTGAAGTATTTATTTTTAGGCTGAATTTAGTATGGCGAACAAGAAATTGAAGTTGGACAATGATATATTTATAGGAGCTATACATAAATTTGGACCAATTCTCACCAATTTCAATAGGGTTCGTTCTTGGGCCAAACAAATAATTTCATCTCAATCGGAAAATATATGCGATATGTGCTTTGTTTACAAAAATAAATGGACAGATGGACGGACATGCATAGATCGATTCAGAATGCGATTCTATGAAGATCGTTCTTTTGAAATTTCTATTTCTTTGCGCATTTGTTTGTAACAGACAAAGGGAAACGAGATAGACCCAAAGTTTTTTTTTTTTTGATGATCTGCATAGAATTGCATTCTGAGTCGATTTATGCATGTCCGTCCGTCCGTCCGTCTGTCCATTTTTTTTACAAATAAAGTACAGGTCGCATTTATTGCCCGATCCAGTTGAAAATTTGCACAAGTCATTTGCTTGACCCAAGGACGAACCCTATAGCACCAAACGTGTAATATCAGCCCAAATAGCATGGAATTTTGCACATACTACCAAATTAAGCCTCAAAATAAGTATGCCAAATTTGATCGAAATCGGTTCAGATATAGCTATAGCTCCCATATATACTGTTCATCCGATTTGTTATTTTTATCCTCCGCAGCCGTAATATGCACTCTTTAACAACAATATTTGGGGAAATATACCAAATACAGCTCAGAAATACCTTTGCTAAATTTTATTAAGATCGGTTCAGATTTGGATGTAGCTCCCATACATAACTTCGCCCGATTTACCTTTTATTGTGCACCAAACGTCTATTATTTGTCCAAATGGGATGGAAATTGGCACTTACGACCGAATTGAGTCTAGAAGCTAGTATATCAAATTTGTGAATATCGGTTCAGATATAGCTATAGCTCCAATATATATTGTTCATCCGATTTGTTATTGCACTCCGTAACAACGATATTCAGGGAAATATATCAAATACAGCTCCGAAATATCTTTGCCAAATTTTATCGAGATCGTTTCCGATTTGGATATAGCTCCCATATATATAACTTTATACGATTTCAAATTAATTGTGCACCAAATGGGCAATACAAGTCCGAATTTAAAAGATACAAATGCTTTGGCATATTTAGTCTTTTGAACTTTAAATTATAATTATAACCATAGCGTATATTATTGAATTCTCCCATAAAAACTTTTAATTGTTATGTGGAGTTCTACTAAATTAGCAAAGTGGTGTAGGGTATCATAGAGTCGGCCCCGCCCGACTTTAAGTCTTTCTTTACTTGTTCAAATCTGCTCAGTGTTGACATAATCTCCATGAAGTAGTGCTGTCCCTCATTCTGCCTCTCTCACACACACACACAGAAGAAATTTTTAAGTTTATGTACTAAGTTTATAAAATTCCGAACATTGCCAACACTTTTAAAGCCTTATTCAAATTTCAAAAATTAGACGATTTTGAAATTAGTTTTCTCTAGAAGGGAGCCTTAAAAAATGGAATATTTTTTTAGAAAGAAAGCGTCAGACTGTTATAATTTTTTCCCAAAATTTTAGCGCACAAATCTCTAGCTCTTTACAAACCTCAAAACTTTATTTCCCTAATAAAAAAAATTTATTGCATTGCTTTTGTACATGATATCCCAAAAATTATTTTTTAGAAAATTTTAAAAAATTATTTAAAATTAATTAATTAGTTTTAAACATTTAAGTATAATACAAAATATATGTAATTAATTACACAATAATGTAATAGTTTGCCAATCAAAAAACATGAAAGAAGCCCAAAAATATAATTAATTAATAAAACAATGAAAAATGTATACGATTTTTTTCGAAAAAGTTTTGATGCAAAATTTTCTCAAACAAAAAAAAAACATTGAAACATAATGCAAATAAAATTAATCAAAAATATTTATAAGAAAAAAATATTATACAATAAAAAAAAACAACCCTACAAATATGCATTATATGACATATATAAAAAAAAAAAAAAAAAAAAAATGTATCCTATTATTATAATGTTTAAGTTGTATTATTTATTTTTTTTATTATTTTACAAAAAAAAAAAAAAACGCAAAGATAAAATGAAAAAACAATTAAATTGTATAAATTATAATGCTAAAACTACAAAAAAGCCAAGTTTGCATGACACACAAAAAATATCCAAATAAATATAAATTAAAACAAAACAAATGAAAAATACAAATATATTAAGCAGAAACAAAATTTAAAACTAGTGCGTTTCATTTCATTTAGGACGTGCTTCTTGCATTCCCTGTTAAATGTTTTTATAATTTATTATCGGCATTGCACTCCAGCTCTTTGTGACGGCTGTTGCTGCTGCTGGTGGCGGTGCTGCTGGTGTAGGAGTTGTAGTTTATGGCCGTTGTTATGTTATGTCTCATGTCTTGTCTTTCTTGGTCACAAACATGAACATGTCTGGCATTCAAAATCAATCAGTTGGTCGCCTCTTCGCCCAGTTGCTCGGTGATGTGCCATACCATTTGCTTGGACACTTAACAATGGCCATAAACTATAGTTAAATGGTTGGAAATAGTGTACCTCGAATGAAATT